GTCCTCCAGCACCAGCTGGACTTGTTAAAACAGCAGAACACAGCATCCATCAGACAAGTGACTCAGAATGAGTTGGACAATGCTGCGGTCGAGGTACTGCAACTACATGACTTGGATGTGTGTGAAAAAGTACTCTGGAAATCTTCAGAGATACCTGACTCTTGAACAATGGGGGGAATATGAAAAGATTGTAGTGACTTAAATGTGCCTGATGGAGTTAGTCAGGATGCAGCTGTGCCTCGAGCTGATGACAGCACCATAGAAACGGATGTGTCAGTGGAGGTTTGGACACACGTCTGCTTTAATGTGTTTTGCTATTAAAAGATGACAGAATGTTTTATTTGTACTAATAGTTGTTAATAAATAGATTTTGCTGAATCAAATTATGTTCTGATATTGTTTTTTGTATCATCGTTACATAACATCAATATCCACATTGTACACATGCAGCTATAGTGATGACAGACAGAAACAGGGTGTGTGTTGTTAACAAAATGACAAATTAAAGCATCATTACCAAGAAGATCAGTCCCATAAACATTAATCAGGTGTCTATAAGATACACCTTTTTGTATCGGGGACAAAAAAAGCACAAATTTGTCTGCAGGTTGTTGAGAAATCACTCTGAACCTGTGTTCCAGAAAACAACATGGATGTGCAGTTTTTCACTAAAACATGTTTTTATCTCAGATGTAAATTTATCCAATGAATCGTTGAAACTGTGAAACAAACAAACAAACAAACAAACAAACAAAAAACGTTGTTTGTGTTTAGTGATATAAAAACACAACCCAGTGTTTCCAGGTAAAGTAGAGAGGTCTGTGTTCACAACACTCATGTGTGGAAATGTATCAATAGTGTGTGTTAGGAGCTGATAACAAGCAAATACAGCCAGGAAATGAGTTTCCTTGATAACTGTTCTTTTATCAGTGCAGGGGAGGGTGGAGCAGTGGGTTCAAGGTGTGGTGTCAGGAGAGGCTCCTGACAGCAAGCATGTGCACTGCTTAGTTTTTGTGTGTGATGGGAATGAAATAAGAAGATGTGTTAACACTTACAGTCTGTGTCTCATAGTGATCGTGGAAAACACATGACATAAATGAAATTATGACCCTGCTCACTTGGTGGGTTTGGGCAGTGTGAATAAACTTTACATTGCTGCAGGGGAATCAGCAGGTGTAACGCCGCCAAACCGGAGGTGAAACATTGTTTAAAGGGGGGGACTTAGACTCTTCATAACCAGCAAGAAGACATTTTCCCAGAAATAGAGTTTTGATTAGTGGACTCGACAAACAGTTTGAGGCTGATTTGGCTGATATGGGTGAATATTGTGCAGATAATGATAATGTGAGACACTTACTGACATGTACAGATGGGTTTTCTAAGTATGCATGCAGTTGTCTTCAAACCAAGGCAGGAGCATCTGTTGCATCTGCTTTTGAGGATGTTCTGAGTGAGACACGTGTACCTGTTAAACTTCAAACAGATGAAGGCGAGGAAACATAAACATTTCCATCAGCTGATGGTTTGATTTAACATCACACATTTCTCTTCATAAAGCCAGATTAAACCAAGCGTTGTGGAACAATTTAATAGAAGCTTTAAGGGCCGTATGTGAAAATACTTCAAATCTGTTAACTTATGAAGACATGTAAACGTGGTCCAGGACCTTGTGCTGTCAAGGCCAAGCGGCTGGTGTACAAAGGTTGGAGCCAAAAGCTGACTCAGTACACGTTTGTTTGATTTGAATGAAAACTTGATTTATCACACGGATCCGAAAGGCTGAGGTGGAGGAAATTCCACGGAGCAGGACTCGCTGTAATAGAAGGAGAAGGTGAGTTATTTCCAGATGAGGTTAAAGGTGAGTACGACGTGAGGTGAGTGAAAGGAGATTTTGCTTCCTTGTATTACAGGCTGAAGCAAAGCTACAGAGACGGGAGTTTCTCTGGGTGTGTGGTGGAGTAAGGAGAAGAACAACATGTCTGACCCTTCCTTTTTTAGAGCAGAGGTGTGTTGTGGCAAGCAGGAGGGCAGGCAGGTGACTTTTCAGATTTACTCTGGGAACCAGAGAGCAAGAGCAGCAGCTGCAAGCAGGTAAGTTTCCAGCAGGCTGTGAAAAAACGAAGAGGATCAGCATCAAAATGCCCCCTCAGAGGTGAACAAAGATCATCTTTGGAGGACATTTCTACCAGTTATTTTTGTGTGAAGCTAACTGAACAGATTGTGCTACAGGTATGTAATAATAAAATAATATTAGTAGATGTCACAGCTGGGGTGGCAGTTGTGTGGGGTTGAAGGGAAAAGGACCCAATAACAGGCACTGACGATGCAATGAGTGAGCTTTATCTACATGAGGTGATAATACAGAGAGAGCAGAGATGGGGATGGATAGAAACTAAAAACAAACCTAAACTGGGACAACTTAACCAACAAATCTGAAGCCATAACTCACAGGGTGGAACACAGGTTGACATGTGGAGGTAACACAGACAGACCAGTAACAGACAGAAGAAAACACAGGGCTTATGTACACACAGGAGCAATCGGGGCATGGGAGACAGGAGGGAAACACAGCTGGGAGAAATCAGAGCTGATGAGACAAGGGGAAGCAAA